GTTCTGCAAACCCCATATACGAACTGGAGCTGTTACCAATTTACATAGCCCTCCACATTTGGGGGAAAAGGGTGCATTCCACACACTTGGTGTGTTACCTGGACAACGACGCGGCAAGGGCGGCGTTATGCAAAGGGTATGGCAGCACTGAGCTTGCCCAACGAATTGTTGGATGTGCTATGCAGCTTGAGAGTCGTTTCAAAACAAAGTCTTGGTACGCAAGGGTACCATCACACTCTAACATCTCTGATGGTCCAAGCAGATTGGACTGTAAAGAGGTGGAGCAGTTGGGGTCGAAACAAATTGAGATAGACTGGGATGTTATCCTTGAGAATCTCTTTGGAGTTTCGGGTGCATCTTCAAAAAGGGGAGAGCACGGGCACACCGAATGATCCCCAACTGCGTTGGTTAGAAAAAGGTGTGAGCAGTGAAATCCGTTCGCATCGTTTTGTTTGATTCGTAATTTACGGATGTTTTAATTTTCATCCAAATTTATTTGGCGAAGTTTTAATTGTACGCGCGTGTAAACACAATTGCGGTTTCAAAAAAGGAATAAGTTGGGACTCCTCCTACCAGGAGGATACAAACCTTATTCCTAAATGAAAATTTTTGGTTGATCCAAAATTAGCAATTGGTGTTTTGTGAACTCACGCGTTTAAATGCTTTGCCAAAACAACCTGAAAACTTTTGGAAGTTTTCTTTGAACTGGTTGTTCTTTTCCACTTGTCCATGTTTGTACTAACTGTTTAACATGTCGATGTTTTACAGTTTTCCACTTTCAACCTCTGTGTGAAACACATCTGATCTCCATATTGCATGAGAACCATTTTGGTTTAAGGGAGGGCTGTGGTGGGACCATTCGTGTATTTGTACGCGTAGATGACCCACCCAAACTGTTGCCAGTTTACCCACCCTTTTTCCTTCGGGTTCTATGTTACAGCCTAGCCCTAAGCCTAAGAGCACGGGCACACCGAATGATCCCCAACTGCGTTGGTTAGAAAAAGGTGTGAGCAGTGAAATCCGTTCGCATCGTTTTGTTTGATTCGTAATTTACGGATGTTTTAATTTTCATCCAAATTTATTTGGCGAAGTTTTAATTGTACGCGCGTGTAAACACAATTGCGGTTTCAAAAAAGGAATAAGAAATCCTTATTCCACAAATAAAAAATTGTGACTCTTCACAAATAGGGATCTGACATGTCCTTCACTTGGGCAACGCGCGCCCCCCCAAAAAATCAAAACGTGACAGGAAACAAGTCGCCTGTAAACTCTGTGTAACTGTTTCATGATATGAGTTTCAAAATGCCTACTCTAACACTTTCAGGTAAACACTAACCTTTTGTAATGGAACTTTGTTTCTGAACTCTCACAAAACAATTTGAAAAATCAACTACTGTTTTGTGCCGAGTTTTTGTCACTGCAAGTTCAGAATCAATTTTTGTTCCGTTGCGGTCATTTCCCTTCAAGTGGTTGGAGGGTGGGTCTCCCTTTCAATTTGAGAGGGACGTTTTTTTTTCACCCACCCCGTTAACACTCCCACCCTTGGGTATCTCCGGGTGCGCTGAAACCTGAAAGCAGATATCAATCACCCTTTGTCCGAATCAAAAAGGAAAACCAGGCATCAATACCTTCCTTGGAAAACTCCAAAGCTGGAAACAAGTCTCCTCGACAGTGCAAAAGACCGAGTGAAGCCAGCCGTGTCGTCGCGTTGATTTTCTGTTTGATTCTTTAAAAAAAAATCATTGGTTCAGTTTGGGATCTATTCATTCCCTAACTTTTCCTTCGCGAATTTTGCGCGAACACGTGGCAACAAAGCTCCAAACTAACGTTGTTAACTGAAGGGGTTGACAAAATGACGTGTTGCCCTCTGGCTTTAATCTAGAGCCTATTCCGGTTTCTTTTAATGGAATAACAGGCCTGATGTTTCCAACCAAGGAATGATATAGCGTGTTCCATGGCCTCTCCATCTGTTGCTGCACTTGGACACTTGCGGAAGTTGATTGGTTTCATGAAACAAATGGGTGACATTGGAATCTACATGGAAGCACCTTTGCCGGGAAAGGGAAAGCTCAGTGCAGGAGGAGTTTCCACTTGGTTGCTTCAGAGTTACAGTGATGCAGAGTGGAGTTCTAACCAATCCAATCGAAGGTCAACTTCTTGCGGCATGCATTTCTTGAATGGAGCATTTGCATATGGAAGCAGCAGCCGCCAAAAGGTGGTCAGTCTTTCTTCTTGCGAAAATTAGTTGCACAGCATGGTCAGTTGTTTGTGTGATGGGATGTTTCTTGAAGCGTGTGCAGAGTTCATCTTGAACCAAGAGGTCCGCACATTCAATATACAGACAGCTCTTCTGCGCGCCAATTTGCGAGCAGACAAGGCTGTGGAAAGGTGCGTCATTTGCCTGGGAAGATTCTTGGATACAAGAGTTGCTTTGTGACAAGTTGGAACTGCAGAAAATATCCCAGATATTGCGACGAAGTGCCCCAGCCGACAGAGGCTGCTGTTTTTGATGCATGAAATTCATGAAACTGGACTGGTTTACATTCCTTCCTTCGAAAGTGTTGGTGAGGTCAGAGTTCAACCGACATACAGCAAAAAATGGGAATGCTGCACAGCTGAAGAGGATCTCAAAAGCAATCTTCAGAATGTCAGTTGCAATGGGCCTTGAGCCACTTGGGCCTGTTGGTGCGATGGCATTTCGAAATAGGCACCATGTGATGGAGGAGGAGGAGCCCAAGAGCAATGCTTTGTGGATTTGCGCTACGGTGTTTTTGTTCGCATGTGCATTTGCAGTGGTTTTTCTTGCATGGAAGCGTTTGCATAAGAGGTTGTTCGAGGTGGAAGTTGCAATGGGAGGTTTGCAAGTAGAGTTGATTTCAGCGCAAGAGCAACTTGCAGATCACTATGGCTTTGCAGCTAGGCTGGATGATAGGCTGGAGGGTGCTGAGGAATTACCTGAGGCTTTCGCAAATCGAACAGCCATCTTCGATGAACAAGCCCTGGAAAATTTTTCAAGCAATGAAGAATTCATGGATTGCGTCTGTTATGGACTCATGGAGCTTGGAGGTTTCATCAGACACCAGTCGCTGAACCGAGGGCAGAGATCACATATGGTGGCGCAAGAGCGCCCCAATCTTGTAGTGTGGAACGTAAGGAACAGACCTGATACAACAGATGCTACAATGGATACCAATGTTGGACAAGAAGCTGCAGAAGAAGAAAGCCCAACGAGCGATCCGGCGATTCCCCCTGGTGACACTACGGCCTTGTTGGAAAATCTTCGGCGAGATCAAAATCACACCCTGGCTGTTGAGAGATGGGCACAAGCAAACCAAATTCAACAAGCAAGTGTGGTTTTATTTGATTTGACGGCAGGACCACACCCAGAAGGACTCTCAATGCAGGTGCTGACAATCATCAGAAACATTTTCCAGACGTTGTACCGCCACCACAGAAACCGAGGACTTGATGAAAGAACTGAAAGACTTCAAACCTATGTGTCATAGACATGAGCAGTTTGATGAGGTGAAACTTTGAATTTGGAAGGAAATCCACATGTGAGGACAATGCTGAATGGGTCAGACAAGTTTGCAAGGAGCTGAGCAGGCTCATCACTTCGAGGAGGAGTGTGAAAACTTGTGGAGCCTATTCACTACTCACGCACAAGGATGACACACACACACAAAACGAGATGTAACCAACGTGTCACTTTCAGTTGAGCCTTGCATGAACAACATGTTTAAGGTGAATCTCATGAGGCCCTTTCGGCGCAAAAAATCAACGTATTTCCGAATGAGTCTTTGCAGTTTGTAATAATTTGTTGACCCTTGCTGCTGGTAATTTCTCTTCTGACCGCGCTTCCTCTTGCTGCAAGCGGGGTCGGCGGATTTTTGAATTTTTGATTCATCTCGTTTGTGCTCGTAAGTCTTTTCTTTGGTTTTTCCGTCCCAATTTTCCTTTTGTAAACGCAAAATATTTTATACCATGTGACCTTTTGATGTTTTTCGAACATGCTTGAACTATTCGATATATTTTGATAGCGTGATCCATATTATACACATGTATGCACTATGACCAAACTCATCCACTATAGTGCAAGATAGTGACAATCTCAAGGCTGGAATGTTTTCATACTGGTGTTAGGACATGCGAAGACATGCTATAAGAAGAGCCGCGGGGGAGGAAAAAATGAAGTTCGTAGACCACAACAAGGGTTTCGGACGGTTTCTCTACAAAATACAGGGTTGAACGGTTGAACGTGTCCCACAACGCTTGGTTTGGACACTTACGACACTTGGAAAGGGCAATTTTTTTTGAATCTATTTTGTCGAAAACCTTTGTTTGGTAGTTTTCAATGATTCATGTTTTGTATTTTGTAGTGGGCAACCATTTTGGGTTCCATAGACTTTTATTTTGTAGTATGCCTGGGGGCACTCTTTTGGATGAACTTGTATTTTTTGGACCCCTTTTGTCTACAAAATCACCTGCTCCCACCATTTCCCAAAATGACCAAGGGGATAATTAAGACAATTTTCATGTTTCAGCATGAAGCTAAGACCTGTAAATTGTTGGCCTAAAATATTGCACACCACTGTAAACATGATGCCAACAATGTTGCGCTACTGCTGGTTCCAAGATACTGCGATTTTTTGCCAACAAAGGAGCAAATACGGACCAAATTAGCGATTTTAATACGAAAATGCAGCAACTAGCATGCAAATGACAAATTTCAGCTCCAAAATGCAGTAAACGACAATTTTCATCCCAAAATGCAATAAATAGCACAGAAAAACGCCCCAAACTGGAAAAACAAATTTGCACGTTACAGTGATGGTGTGAACGCAATCCAATAGGAGTGTGCGAACGAACTGACATTTTGGTTCGCAAGTGAATGTATAGCATGGAACAAAATCAGAAACATTGCCCTTTGAACACACTTCTGGTTAGACAGCTTCCAAACCATTGTCAAGAGCATATCGAAGCAGGGTTGCACATGTTTTTCCTGGATTAAATGTTTGTGGACGGCATCCATGAGCATTATCGACTCTGATGAGGCAGGGAAGGGGGATGTGAGGAGAACTTTGCTGGAGTTCATGTTGGGATTTGCATGTTGTCATTTGGGTTTATCTGAAAATTGGATACCCGTCAAATCCATTGGTTTCTCATCGTTTTTCTTAGTACATTGGCCATTTGGGGGCAATTTTTTTCTCCAATTTTCAATCACACCCATTTGTATTGGCCGCGTCCAGATCAAATTTGATGGTGAGGCTGATGGTTTGCTGCGACAGCGGCTTGCCACTCTTGAAGCGCGACAAGGTGTTGGTCAGTTTTTGGTGTTGACAGAACAAATTGATTGTTTGACACAGGGTTTGCCCGATTAAGCCAACAATTGCGAATCTTGATTTGGGATATGTTTGATTGCGGCATATTCGCAAAATTATGTCCTGAAACACATCACCTGCAGATCGGCATGTCGGTGAACGACGAAGAGATCGATCGTGTTGATCTGAGCTGAGGTAGTTCAGGACGCGAAAAACTGTCTTGGTTCGGTACCAGATAGCAGCTAGCTAACGAGAACTATTTTTTTTGGTTTTATGTGGTGGCCGTGGTGGCCGAAACTTTCTTGGAAAAATGCGATCCAGCGTGTTTTTTTGGTTTGTCTGACAAAATGGTCTTCCAGAAGTCTGATGGCTGGTGTGTTGACTGCTGCGAAACTTGGTGTTGGTCTGGGTGCTGCTTTTCTCTTTCAAAGAAGGAATCTTGGAAGTTGGAACCTTGTGTTTTGTATTGATTTGTCTTGGAACGAACCCTTTCCGTGGCAACCCGAAATTTTGAAATTGGCGTGTTTGTAATTTTCTACCTTGTTTTTGGCTTTGGTCCCAAAGTTCTTGCGCTCGATCTGCAGAGGAAACATACTGCGGTCTTGTGTAAATTTGTGAGAATAAACTTTCAAGTGTTTTATGGTGTGACTTTCATTTGAGTGATGGAGTGATGTTCTGTTGATTTTTTTTGCATTACAACTGCAACACAAAACGGGTTTCAACATTTCACGTGTGAGTCACAAACTTAAGACACATGTGAGACACATGTTACTAGGGCTACTAGGGTTTTCCTATTCGAGCAAGTATCCATTGCAGGTATGCAACTGTCAGTTTTTCTGTAGCGCGGTTGGACGTTAGAATTTTTTAATTTAGAGCCTCCTAGGTGTGCTGCCAGAGGGTGGCAAAAATTCATTCAGGCCTGGTTTCAGCCAGATTCATTGTCTTGTTTAGCAGCCGAGCAAAATCAAGGCATTTACTCGACATGACACTGAATTTATCCAAATCCGAATTTCAATGTTTCGTTCTCTTTGCTTCTCGACAAATTGGCTGATTTCGATGTTTGGTTTGACTTTGACAAAGCGTTTACTTCAGGCTGCGGTGGCCTTCTTTGACACAGAGAGCCGTGGACACGAAGATCCATTGGTGGAAACAGTGTCGTCCTGGGAAATCTTTGCATTCCATGAAATCAAAAAAACTTAACCACAAAATGTAGTCTAATATATTCTAATATCTTCGTTTTGGACTGCTACATCTGCTACATCTTTCCCAGTGACGTCACGCGGTCATCCTGAAGAGATTTTGCCATGAGGTTCGGCAGCAGCCAGTAGCAGCTTTGCGCTTCATGCGCATCATGCTAGTCTCTGGAAGTTTTGGCAGCTTGGCCGGGGGGCCCAAAATTGCGAAAAACCTTGGCAGATTCTGGAGCGACAAAGGATCATCACAGCCCTCGCGAGGTTGTATGTGCCCTTTGTTGGATCTTCCTTTACTTTTTTTGGTCCAGCAGTTGCAGCTGTCAGCGCCCCTTGAGGCACCGTTGGAACTGGGAGGTGAAAGGAAGTCAGCATCAAAAACACGTTGAATATGTTGTGGAAAGTAGAAACAAATTGTTATGCAATCAATTATCGTTTTGACTTTCGCCTTGGGGCATTCCTAGTTCTGGCCAGCCTGTGGCAGAGCGCAGGGTTCCTTCTGAGCCAAACTTTGCAAGGTGGTGGCTGCTGCTCTATGTGATCCTTCAGCAATTGCAGTTGCCAATACGCTTTGCCTTGGTCTCAGTTTTTCCCCGTTTTCCCCGTTTTCCCGGTTTTCCCCGTTTTCCCCGCAAAGTTGAATGGCGTTGCGGAATTCGTTTGACTTGAAGCCTCGCTGGATCACGCTCAATTCCAAGACATAGATGTTTCGAAAGGATTGTGGAACACCCCAGGAGCACCAGAATCATCCATTGGTTTGTGTTGGAAATGTGCTGGGCGGGCATCTGTCCAGTTTTAGTAACGCGCAGGGCGTTGTTGCGGTCGCACATGGGTTTGCCCAAAAATGAGGTTATACCCAAAAAGGCAATTCAATGTGGAACATATGGGAAAATGATGATCAACCCTGGAATTCTGTTTAACGGTATTTTCAGACAGGCCCATTCTGGTCCATTCTGTCTTCCAGTTTTGCATCAAGTCAACTTCCCAAAATAGCTGACATTCCAACTGTCGTGGTTTCGTGCGACATTCTGAGGTGACATGGCGGCGCGTTCACCGCCTTCCTCTGAACATGGCGGGCAATGTCGAGCTGCAGGTGGGACGTTACAATGGTGAGCTGAACCAGGTTGCGCTCGTCTCCTTTTGCGCTCAACATAGAATTGCTGGTTGGTGGTTTGGAACATTTTATATCATTTTATATTTTTCCCATCATATTGGGAACAATAATATCATATTGGGGACTTTTGCAGCTGTGGGACAGGTTCATCTTATCGGTGATTTTGATGAAGCGTTGCTCCAGAACTGCTCCAACTTGTTGGATTTGCAGGCAGAAGTGCAGCGCTTTACTTCTTCTTTGGCTTGGCGTTGGAGCAAAAACATTTCGCTCTTCACGTGACCACTGTTGGACCTCAGAACTGAGGCTTTCACATTGACTTCCTGACATTTCTTTCTGCACTTGCGGAAAGATGACTTTGACTTAAAACCCTGCTTTCCATACAAGTTAGCAGTAGCAGCTAGCACAACTTTCTCTGTTGGATGAAGCATTCCTTCTTGAATAGTCCAAAGTGTGCCTGCTCGTGCTCGGTATTGCTGTGGAGGTACGGCTGGTTTGTTTTGGGCATTGTTTGGGTCTTGAACTCTGACTTCGAGTCTTGCATGGAAACGCACAGGACTGGAGCTGAAATCTGTCTGAGCTGCTTTTGTAGCAATCCTTTGCTTGGCATCTGAACGCCGATGAAGGTTGTAGTGGTTGATGATCTGAAATGCAAATGAACAGGATGTCAGAAAGGACAACATGAGAGACCAGAAGTCTTTGTCCCTAAAAGTCTCGACCGGGGTGCCAGGTTAATTAACTATTATGATCATCTATGATCATAGCAATTAAAGGGGCAAATTCCAGTCGGCAAGGTCACGCGTAGAAGAAAACATTTTTGTGACAATGAACGACAGTGAACCCTGTGAAGGATGACTGTGGCCGTGATTGGTCAGGCCTTTGCCCGAGCTGTCTGGGGCCTTGATGCCCCTCGCGACTGCCCTTGGTTTGGGAAAGCGAAGCGATGTGTGCCATGTCGGGCCATGATATTTCCCAATGCTGATTATAAATTATAAGGCATAATTTTCCAAAGCAAAGACTTCTGTGAATTATAAGAAACACCCAATCAAGCTGAAAATCCCAAGAAACCAGAGAATGAATATTATAATTTAATAATATAATTTATAATGACTATCAGTGACTATCAGTCATGTCAAGGGCACAAATTGGCAGATACGCTTCGTGTGCTTCGATCGGTGCCACCATCGAGGTCGGCGCCATGCTCTGCTTCCGCATGTGCTTGGAGGCGGCGTGGCAGTTGGGCAGCTTTCAGACCGGGCCAACGGGTTTTTTTTAGGATTGCGATTGGCAAGTTGGCTGGACAAAATAACCCTGCCTTAAGCATCTTAAGCATCAAAGTTGAGGTATTTTCCGAATTTCTCTCTCCGATAGGTTCAGGAATCAACCCTCCAATTGTTGAGTACAATGTGGTTTGACTTACCCTCCTGGCATTTCAATCAGCAAGGAATGATGGAAGAACAACTATCCTGGTGGTTCAGGCTTGTGAAGTGACCATTCGAAGAGTGAGGATCCTCATGGCTCATTTCGCATGGCCTGGTAGTTCTTCGCATCTCAACAATTCTCAACCAATTTCTCGTGTCCTCATGACCAAGCCCCAGAAATTGTACTGTGCGGTGTAACCCTCAGTCAGATCATTAAAAGTACGTAACTTAATGTAATTTGTCACAATTATTTTGATAGGATTTTCCTTTTCTATCTGTTTTGGGGTTACTATCACTACATATCACTACTATATAAATCTATAAAACTGAATACCAACCGAACATGATCTACTTTGGTTGTTCGGGAATGGGCAACATGAAAATCGATGCGAATCATTCAAGTTACTGGCCATTTTCAACAAGGGGAAACCCATTGGTTTTGGACCCTAAAAATTGGGCACCCCATATGGATCCCCGTTGATATTCCCACAAAAGGAATGGGGTGCGCTTGAGGCCAGTACATGGCGGTTTTCTGACGCCATATTGTAGTCACTTGTGACCTTGGCACGTTCATGTTAAGAGATCCAGTCAATCTCTGAAAACAACATCCTCTGGTTGTACCTGGTAGACCCCAAAATAACCCACAAAAAGCGTGAAAGGTCTACAAAATTATGTCTAATTGCCATGCTTGACCCTGGGGAGCCGTCAGGCCCATGTTCCAGAAGGTGAGAACCTCAGTGATTGATCCGGGTCTCCCCAAAAGTCTCCCCAAAAGCATTTTTTTGGCGCCGCCCTGGAAAGTGGAAGGGTCACCCTTGAAGGTCTTTCAATGGGGCAGCAGTTCTTTTCTGTGGTTTCTACATGGCGCATCCGCCAGTTGTCCTGCAGGTCCTCCAAAGGTTGAGGCAGGGACCAGATGCTGTTCCAGCCACAAGCAGAGTAGTACCGTTTGGCCCAACGTGAATGAATTTCTTCTCGGTTTTGACCTGCGCGCTGCTAGCCACTGTTGAATGCTTGGAATGTAAACTTGCCAGTGAGTTGGCCGACAATCCGAGCTGCCAGGCTGCGCGTTCTGAAGAGATCTACGCCTTGCAAGTTCTAGCGTTCAGGCCTGTGTCTCCAGTGCAGCCTTTCTTTCAAGCTGAAACATCCAGCAGAGATGCTCTGGGGGTTGCATACTGAGCAGTGGAGCATCCAAAGCCGAAGCCAGCTCGAAAGGTCTGAGATGGCCCAAAAGCATGCTGCTGCCTTGGGGTGCTGAATTGACCGGTGAAATGGTGAAATGGTGAAATGGTGAAATGGTGAAATGAATGTGTTTGTTTGTTCCTTCGACCAGCGGTTCTTTTTGGCAGCAGAGTTATCATAAAAACCAAGGAATGGAATCAGCAAGTGATCTGATGGCAGTTGCAACTGTTTTGTCTTGGATGCTCCTAGGCGACTTGTGCAGTGTGTCTGTGTGACTATGTTGAGGGCGAAGTCTTGCGAAGGCAAATGGAGGGTCCAACCTGGTGCTTGATTTGACTGCGCAAATGGTTGGCATCAGACCTTTCGACTCTTTCGACTCTTTCGACTCTTTTGACTCTGACGCTTGGGGGATGGCTGCAGGATGCTGCAGGCTCTATTTGTGAAACCTGTGTTTAGAGGTTTGCGAACAGTTCTCATTTACACGCTGCCGCTGAAGGCTGCCATGTGGACACCTGTTCCACCGACGTTGCGCGGTGCGTCACTTGGGGTTCGAAGGTCGTGTGCTGTGCAGTTAACAAATTCACAAATCAGTTGTTGGATTCATCCAGATTCCAGTTGGGTGTGTCTGAAAATAGTGTACCCCTAAACCCAATGGTTAATGATCATTATCCCTACTATAAATGGCTATAATTGGGAATTCAGACAAACCCAGTTGAAATTCACAAATTCATCCATCTTTCCTGGACTGACTGGGTGATTCGAACCAGGATGAGTGGCTACAGAGAAGCTGTCGCTGTCCTCTATGTGTTGTGATCTTAGATTGCAACTGCTAAACATCAACTTGAGATACGCGAGATCGTAGATCCTGTGATATCCAGGGGATGATTGAATCAAATTGGTAAGTATCAGAAATTTGAGTTTCCCAAGTCTGCATATTTTCTGTATGTTTGGCAATTATACATTTTCTTGTGCAGCACAGCTTAGAAAATACGGTACTCACACCCAAATCAAGGCAAGCCAGCACAACGACAGGATACAGGAATGGCTCAACATATCCCAAATTTGTATAGATCCCCAAACTGGAAGCTAGATAATGTTCAATATGGTTATGTACAATTAGATTTTATATATATATATAAATATATATATATATAATATATATATATATATAAATAAATAAAAAATAGATAAATAAAAATAAATGAATGATACCAGTAGTACCCGCACGAGGCGGGGCGGAAATTGCCTTAGGGATATATAATGATATATATAATTATATATACATATATAAGACCTTTCTCATCGATAGAACTTGCATGCGCCGTGCGCCAGCCAAGCCCGTGCGTGCGTGCATTCTGCGAAAGTGGTGTCCTGTTTCACATGTAACATTTGAAGCTCCACTTCGCACTTCACACTTCTCGCTGCACTCTTCACACTCCACACTACACACTTCACACTCCACACTTCACACTTCACACTTCACACTGCACTCTTCCCACTCCACACTTCACACTTCACACTCCACACTCCACACTTCACACTTCACAGTCCACACTTCACACTTCTCACTTCTCACTGCTTTCTTCACACTCCACACTTCACACTCCACACTTCACACTGCACTCTTCACGCCCCACACTTCACACTGCACTCTTCACACTCCACACTTCATCTCATCTGAGCTCTTCTCACCTTATCCCAGCTCATCTCTTCTCATCTCATCTCTTCTCATATGTCATCTAAGCTTCCATGAATCACTTCCCAGAGAACTTGCATGCACCGTGCGCCGGCCAGGCCCGTGTGTGCGTGCTTTGTGCGAAGCTGTTGCAGTGTTGCTGTCCAAGAACATGACTCGCGCGCGACCCCGGTGCAATGCAACGTCAAGCAAACACTTTCCTCGCACTTCACCTTGCACTCTTCACACCCCACACTCCACACTTCACACTTGCACTTCATCTCAACTCAACTCATCTCATCTGAGCTCTTCTCATCTCATTTCATGTCTTCCCATATGTCAGCTAAGTTCTTCTTGGCTATTTTCATGTCAACTACTTCCCAGTACTGATGTCTACTACAAGAGCCTGCAAAAGTACTTCCCAGTACTACTTTGTACTACAAAGCTTGCACAAAACACGTTCCAGTACTACTTTGTACTACAAAGCTTGCACAAACTACTTCCCAGCACTACTTTGTACTACAAAGCTTGCACAAAGCACTTCCCAGTACTACTTTGTACTGCAAAGCTTGCACAAAACACGTCCCAGTACTACTTTGTACTACAAAGCTTGCAAAAGTACTTCCCCAGTACTACTTTGTACTACAAAGCTTGCACGAACTACTTCCCAGTACTACTTTGTACTACAAAGCTTGCACAAACTGAACTACTTCCCAGTACTGATGTCTACTACAAAAGCTTGCAAAAGTACTTCCCAGTACTACTTTGTACTACAAATCTTGCACAAAGCACTTCCCAGTACTACTTTGTACTACAAAGATTGCACAAAACACGTCCCAGTACTACTTTGTACTACAAAGCTTGTACAAACTACTTCCCAGTACTACTTTGTACTACGAAGCTTGCACAAACTGCTTCCCAGTACTACTTTGTACTACAAAGCTTGCACAAACTACTTCCCAGCACTGATGTCTACTACAAAAGCTTGCAAAGGTACTTCCCAGTACTACTTTCTACTACAAAGCTTGCACAAAGTATTTCCCAATACTACTGTGTACTACAAAGCTTGCACAAAGCACTTCCCAGTACTACTTTGTACTACAAAGGTTGCACAAAGCACTTCCCAGTAGTACTACTTTGTACTACAAAGCTTGCACAAACTACTTCCCAGTACTACTTTGTACTGCAAAGCTTGCACAAACTACTTCCCAGTACTACTTTGTACTACAAAGCTTGCACAAAGCACTTTCCAGTACTACTTTGTCCTACGAAGCTTGCACAAACTACTTCCCAGTACTACTTTGTACTACAAAGCTTGCACAAACTACTTCCCAGTACTGATGTCTACTACAAAAGCTTGCAAAAGTACTTCCCAGTACTACTTTGTACTACAAAGCTTGCACAAAGCACTTCCCAGTACTACTTTGTACTACAAAGATTGCACAAAACACGTCCCAGCACTACTTTGTACTACAAAGCTTGCACAAACTACTTCCCAGTACTACTTTGCACTACAAAGCTTCCACAAGCACGTTCCAGTACTACTTTGTACTACAAAGCTTGCACAAAATATTTCCCAAACCGTGACAGGAATTGACCTTGAACGCATGCAGCCCCAGCACCAAACAACCTCGAGGCAGCCACTACAATGCGATCTGCGGAGACTGAGTTGCAAAACACAATAGAACTACGCGCAACGGCGTCGGAAATTGCAGCTCCAAAACCGGATGGATCTCGACGCCAAAGCAGAAAAAAGACGATTTTGAAGCACTTTTTAAAAGGATTTTTAAAAGGAAAATTACTGGCGCCCAAATTGAGAAAATCTGCTGACAAATCACTGTCGCAGCCTTGATGCAGCCACTCCAATACGATTTACGATCTTCAGCTGCAAAAGACAATAGTATTACGCATGCAGCCGCAGCACCAAGCAACCTTGACGCAGCCATCACAATGCGTTTTGCAGCATGACGTGGCTAACCCGCATGCATCTACGCACATGGCAACACCACATGACAAGAATCATGCAGCCATTCCAATGCGATCTGCAACCACAGATTCAAGAATCGCATAGAACTACGCACACAGGAACAACCACTCGTTGCAGAACACAGAGGAGGAACCGATTGACCTCGAAACGATCCAAACCGCAAGCGCCGCACACACGAGGTACCTTTCATCGCCGGCTGCAGCCACTTTACACGGAAAAATACAAGGTTTCGTGCTCCGGCTTCCTCCCCAAAACAAAGCCCATGCAACATTCATGCAGCCATTGCAATGCGTTTTGCAGCATGACGTGGCTAACCCGCATGCATCTACGCACATGGCAACACCAGATGACAACAACCATGCAGCCATTCCAATGCGATCTGCAACCACAGATATAGAACTGCGCACACAGGAACAACCACTCGTTGCAGAACACAGAGGAGGAACCGATTGACCTCGAAACGATCCAAACCGCAACCGCCGCACACACGAGGTACCTTTCATCGCCGGCTGCAGCCACTTTACATGGAAAAATACAAGGTTTCGTGCTCCGGCTTCCTCCCCAAAACAAAGCCCATGCAACATTCATGCAGCCATTACGATGCGTTTTGCAGCATGACGTGGCTAACCCGCATGCATCTGCGCACATGGCAACACCAGATGACAACAATCATGCAGCCATTCCGATGCGATCTGCAACCCCAGATTCAAGAAACGCATAGAACTACGCACACAGGAACAACCACTCGCTGCAGAACACAGAGGAGGAACCGATTGACCTCGAAACGATCCAAACCGCAACCGCCGCACACACGAGGTACCTTTCATCGCCGGCTGCAGCCACTTTACACGGAAAAATACAAGGTTTCGTGCTCCGGCTTCCTCCCCAAAACAAAGCCCATGCAACATTCGTGCAGCCATTACGATGCGTTTTGCAGCATGACGTGGCTAACCCGCATGCATCTAAGCACATGGCAACACCAGATGACAACAATCATGCAGCCATTCCAATGCGATCTGCAATCACAGATTCAAGAAACGCATAGAACTACGCACACAGGAACAACCACTCGTTGCAGAACACAGAGGAGGAACCGATTGACCTCGAAACGATCCAAACCGCAACCGCCGCACACACGAGGTACCTTTCATTGCCGGCTGCAGCCACTTTACACGGAAAAATGCAAGGTTTCGTGCTCCGGCTTCCTCCCCAAAACAAAGCCCATTGAGCATTCATGCACCCATTACAAAGTCTCCACTTCCCAAAGTCACCACTTCCCTCCGTCACCACTTCCCTTCGTCACCACTTCCCATCGTCACCACTTCCTTTCCTCACCACTTCCCTTCGTCACCACTTCCCCTAGTCACCACTTCCCAAAGTCACCACTTCCCAAAGTCACCACTTCCCTTCGTCACCACTTCCCATCGTCACCACTTCCTTTCCTCACCACTTCCCTTCGTCACCACTTCCCTTAGTCTCACCACCGCCCTTCATAAAGGTCAATTCTTTTGTGATATATTGTTATTTGGTGTAAAGTGTAAAGTCTCACACCGCCCTTCATCAGGGTCAATCTTTTTGTGATGTATTGTTATGTGATGTCAAGTCTCACACCGCCCTTCATCAAGGTCATTTTTTTTGTGATGTATTGTTGTGTGATGTCAAGTCTCACACCGCCCTTCATCAAGTCATTTTTTGTGATGTATTGTTATGTGATGTGATGTAAAATCTCACACCGTCCTTCATCAAGGTCAATTCTTTTGCGATGTATTGTTCCCCACATTGACGTGTGGGGTTTTTGTTTTTAGTTCTGTATATCCGCTCCGTCCTCCTCCCGTCCTCCCGTCCTCCTCCGTGTCCTCACTCACTCACCCACTCACCCACTCACTCACTCACTCCCTCACTCCCTCCCTCGCTCCCTCGCTCCGTCACTCCCTCACTCCCTCACTCCCTCACTCTCTCACTCCCTCACTCCCTCCCTCACTCCCTCACTCCCTCACTCCCTCACTCCCTCACTCCCTCACTCCCCCTCACTCCCTCACTCCCTCACTCCCTCACTCCCTCACTCCCTCACTCCCTCACTCCCTCACTCCCTCACTCCCTCCCTTGGGCTCCGCTGCTTTTGGGTGGCAGGCGTGGGTGTCCCTCTGGCATCCCTCTCTGGCGTCCCTCTGGTGTCCCTTGGGCTGCTTTTGCGTGGCAGGCGTAGGACAATGTGCAAGGAGTCGGATGTACGCCCTGGCGTCCCTCTGGCGTCCCTCTGGCGAGGCGTGGGACAATGTGCACTGCCAAGGGGTCGGATGTACGCCCTCCTCTTCCTAATCCTCCTCCCGTCCTCCTACTCATCCTCCCTCACACTCACTCACTCACTCACTCACTCACTCACTCACTCATTCACGCACTCACGCACTCACGCACTCACGCACTCACGCACTCACGCACTCACGCACTCACTCCCGCACTCCCTCACTCCCTCACTCCCTCACTCCCTCACTCCCTCACTCCCTCACTCCCTCACTCCCTCACTCCCTCACTCCACTCACTCCCTCACTCCACTCACTCCACTCACTCCACTCACTCCACTCACTCCACTCACTCCACTCACTCCACTCACTCCACTCACTCCACTCACTCCACTCACTCCACTCACTCACTCCACTCACTCCACTCACTCCACTCAAACAAAAAGAATCAAACATGAGAGGAAAAAGCAACAAAAAGCCACAAAAACCAAAACCAAAAAAAACGGGTATAAATAAAAAAAAGTGAATGGAAGAACCAACCCAGCAAGCAAAGCTAAGATCGAAGGATCCTGGGTGGAGGGAAGGCAAAAACGCCGTAAAAAAAAAGAAAAGAAACAGGACAAAAAAAGGGGCCGAGGAGCACTCAAAAGAAAAAGCAAAGAACCACAGGGAAAGGAGGAAGCAACAGAGCCCAAACAAAAGAAAGACCGGGGAGGACAAAAAAAAAAGGCAACCAAGGGACAAGGCGCAGTAACAGAGCATGCCAACGTAGGAAACAGTAAAGATACCAAAAGATCAAGTAACAAAAAAATTACTCCACCCCTCCACGCCCTCTCACCACCACCCAATTCACTCCACCCACTCCCCCCCCTCCCCTCCCTCCACTCCCTCCACTCACTCCACTCACTCCACTCACTCCACTCACTCCACTCACTCCACTCACTCCACTCACTCCACTCACTCCACTCACTCCACTCACGCCACTCACTCCACTCACTCCACTCACTCCACTCACTCCACTCACTCCACTCACTCCACTCACTCCACTCACTCCACTCACTCCACTCACTCCACTCACTCACACACTCACACTCACACTCACACTCACACTCACATTCACACTCACTCACACTCACTCATGCACTCACGCACGCACGCACTCACGTACGCACGCACGCACGCATCCACGCACGCATTCACTCACGCACTCACGCACGCACGCACGCACGCACGCACGCACGCACGCACTCACTCACTCACTCACTCACTCACTCACTCACTCACTCATGCACTCACTCACTCATGCACTCACTCACTCACGCACGCACCCACTCGCGCGCGCACCCGCGCGCACCCCGCCCCCCGCCCCACCGCCCGACGCACGCCCGCACGCTCCACCACCCCTCACTCCCGCAGCCCGCCGCCGCAATTCCCCGCACGCCCGCGACGCCCGACGCCCGCCTCCCTCACAGCCCGCACGCCCTCCCGCCCATCACCCTCTCCACTCCTCAGCTCGCCCATCACGCCCCTTCACGCCCATCACTGCCCTCACTTCCCCATCCACGCCCTCAGCGCCCGTCACGCCCTCACGCCCTCACGAGCCCGTCACCGTCCCGTCCCATCCCGAAAACGATCCCATGCCCAACCGAAAATCCCCTTCCCCTCCCTCCCTCCCTCCCTACCCTCCCTCCCTCCCTCCCTCCTCCCTCCCTCCCTCACTCACTCACTCACACTCACTCACTCACTCACTCACTCCACTCACTCCCCCACTCACTCACTCACTCACTCACTCACTCACTCACTCACTCACTCACTCACTCACTCACTCACTCACTCACTTCACTCACTTCACACACTCACTTCACACACTCACTCACACTCTCACTCACTCACCTGTACATGCACATACATACACACACAAACTGACCCACCATCACCCCTCAATCACTCTTATACTTCCTCTTCCCTTCTTGCTTTTCTATGCTCAGTCTAAGTCTAGAGAAGTTGGTAACATGTGGGGTTATCCGGTCCTATAATTATGTGATGTAAAGTCCCACACCGCCTTGATCAAGGTCAATTCTTTTGTGTTGCATTGTTATGTGATGTCAAGTCGCACACCACCCTTCATCAAGGTCAATTCTTTTGTAATATATTGTTATGTGTGTCAAGTCGCACACCACCCAGCATCAAGGTCATTTTTTTTTTGTGATGTAGTATGATGTAGTGTAAAATCGCACACCACCCTTCATCAAGGTCAATTCTTTTGTGATGTATTGTTATGTAGTGTAAAGTCGCACACCACCCTTCATCAAGGTCAAGTCTCAGTCGCGCACCACCCTTCATCAATGTCAACTCTCACAATTCTATTTGTCCGTAACTCGGAAGTATTGCTTCCCAACTTCCTACAACTTCCTATCCAATATCAAATAGTAAAAACAACCTGCCAATTTGTGGTTTGTTGCGTGAGTCGATTGTGGGGCCTTCACAGAGGTTCAAAGCATTCGGGACTTCAGAATCTGAGTTCCCATCAGCACCTCCTTCAGGGAGTGCTGAAAACCCTGCAACCGAAAGCGAATTCGTTTGGAAAACCTGGCCTCTTTAGCGACCGAAGGTAGCGAGCAGCTTAAGCAGCTTTCTCTATGTCAAACAATAAGCAGATTCTATCTGACAGCTTTGCTTGAGATTTCTTGAGGAATGTTATGGCAATATGCATAAGCTGCATATCCTGCTCTAGATGCACTAGCTAGCTTTTGGGCACGGTCAGAAGGCAGCTAACTTGATAGGTCGGATTCTGAAATGGTTTGCACTTTGCATGGTATGGGAGAGTAATGGCAACCAGACAGATATGTGCTATTTAGATTCTCGTTACAGTTGACATATGTTGAATTATGTGAGCATGATATGAATGATACATTTAATGTACTAGTTACTAGCTACTAGTATGTGACTATTGAGACCAAGATTTCAGTTGATCCGGCAGGCGCCAGTCGGTGCAGCAACTGCTCCGCAATGGGAGATATGGGCTGGCACGCATGGGGCGGCAGTGCCATCGCGCAAGCGATCGCGCGCGGACAGCGCTGAGCAGCGGCATCTTGTGTCGCTAGAGTCGTTCTATGCACTAATTTGGCGTCAGAAAAAAGGTGTGGAGACTTGCTGCTATTCATAGCCATGGCTCGTTGCCTGGACAATGAACTTGCTAAAGAAGGTTGTGCGAGTGATGAAAGTTCGCCTAGAGGGTCCGAGTTCACTGGAGGTTGTATTTCATGATTTTTGAGGTTTACTGTATCGGAATCAAGGATTTTTCACTTGGGGTCCCCTACGTTTTGTCAATTCTGTGGTGAAGTTTCTATTTTTTGCATGGCACTTTGTTGTGCAATACGGCATCAAAACCAGAACAGTTCGGCCTTCTTTGTCGACCTCTTTATGCCTCTTCCAGCAGTGCTTTGCAGGGCTCCATCAATACAGCGAGAGTTTTCCCTGTGAAATTTTGACTGCACTATTGCATCAGCACTCCTGCTCCCAATATTTCATTCCTTCAGAACGCTTTTTTCCAACGCTTGTCTCAGTACTCTCCTCAGCTTTTTACCGAATGCGTAGCAAGGGTTCCCGTTTCACTCTGGGGGTCTGGGGGTTGAGGGTGTGTTCGCTCGACGTTGCGTTTGTGGTCGCAACCGTCCGCAACCGTTCGCAACCGTTCGCAACCGTCCGCGCGATCCCCGTATGGCCGTGCCTATGGGAAGTTTTGCAGAGGTGGTCCTTTTTGGAGGTTTCAGACGTCTGGTTGCTTCGTTTCGCGTGGCAGGCGTGGCACTTCGTGACATTCAGACGTGTTCTGTAACGTGTCGAAAGTCGTTGTGTGTGGCAGGTGCAATACTTTCGCGACGTTTTCACAAGATGTCTTGCAGTTTTCGTGGCAGGCGCAGCACTTTGGACGTGTCCATCGTCATTTTGCGTGGCAGGCGCAGCACTTTAGACGTGTCGTGTTGCGTGTTTTTTGCAAATCGCATTGGCAGGGCTGCGTCAAGTGGCGACAAGGTGCAAATTCCGTGGCAGGCGTGGCGTTTTGTGCGATGTGCTGAAAATTGACGGAGGCCTCGCACGAAACATCGATTTTGAGGTTGCAAATTTTCAGGTTCTAAGGGAAACTCGTAGGAAAACGTCGATTTTGAAGCTACAAAGTGTGAAAATTGGAGGAAGTCTCGCACGAAATGCTCGTTTTGGTGCTTCCACCTGTCTCGTCTCGCGTCTCTGGTTTTCCCGTGGCCTCGCCGTGTCTATGGGGGAAGCTGCAAAACTTGTCCTTCCGGCATGTTTCAAACGAAATGCTCGTTTTTTTGCACCCACGTGTCTCGTCTCGAGTCTCTGGTTTTCCTGTGGCGTCGCCGTGTCTATGGGGGAAGCTGCAAAACATCTCCTTTTCGAAGGTTTCCAAGCAGGTTGTCATGTCGTTTTGCGTGGCAGGCGTGGCACTTTGTGACATTCCAACCTGTTTGATAACGTGTCGAAAATGTCAAAATTGGAGGAGGTCTCGCACGAAATGCTGGTTTTTCTGCATCCACGTGTCTTGTCTCGAGTCGCTGGTTTTCCTGTGGCGTCGCCGAGTCTATGGGGGAAGCTCCGCACTCCACACTCTACACTTTACACTCCACACTTTACACTTTGCACTTTACACTCCTCACTCCTCACCTGAGACTTTACACTCCACACTCCACACTTTATACTACACTCTACACTTTCGACTCCTCACTCCTCACTCTACACTTTACACTCCACACTCCACACTGTACACTTTACACTCCACACTCCACACTTTACACTACACACTCCACACTTTACACTCCACACTCCACACTTTACACTCCTCACTCCACACTTTATACTCCACACTTTACACTCCACACTTCACACTTCACACTTTCCACTCCACACTCCACACTCCACACTTTACACTCCACACTTTACACTCCTCACTCCACACTTTACACTCCACACTTTACACTCCACACTCTACACGTTACACTCCTCACTCCACACTTTACACTCCACACTTTACACTCCACACTCCACACTCTACACGTTACACTCCACACTTTGCACTCCACACTCCACACTCTACACTTTACACTCTACACTGTACACTCTACACTCCACACTTTACACTTTACACTCCACGCTTACACTCCTCCCTTCACACTTTACACTCCACACTCCACACTCTACACTTTACACTTTACACTCCACACTCTACACTCCACACTTTACACTCCAAGCTTCGCACTCTACACACCACACTCTACACTTTCCACTCCACACTCCACACTCTACACGCTACACTCTACACTCCACACTCTACACTTTCGACTCTACACTTTACACTCTACACTTCACACTCTACAATTTACAAACTCCACACTCCTCACTCCACACTTTACACTCCTCACTTTACACTCCACACTCCTCACTCCACACTTTACACTCCTCACTTTACACTCCACACTCCACACTCCACACTTTGCACTTTACACTCCTCACTCCACACTCTACACTCCACACTCCACACTCTACACTCCACACTCTACACTTTACACTCCATACTCCACACTCTACACTTTACATTCCGCATTCTACACTTTACACGCTCTACACTCCCCACTCCACACTTTACACTCCACACTCCTTACTTCACACTCTACACTTTCCACTCCACACTGCAGACTGGTAACAAGGGAAACATGTACAAAACTGTTCAAATAAACTATTGCAGAAGGGTATTGTGCGTGACTGCATAACCATGTGTTTTGACATCTGTGCCATTAACATACGTGTGAGCATTCGGGTTTGTGGGCTTCATCTTGTTTCAAGTTGCTCTTTCAACAGTCTTTGGTAATCCTTTCCTGAGAACACTTCTCCCAGTCCTCTTTTTTGAACTGATTTCAAATTTGACTTTAGCATACTTTAGCATTCTTCTCCCAAAAGTGTTGTGAAACTCTACATTGTTTGGATTGCAGCACAGGCATGATTCAACTACTAGAGAAATCATCAAAAACCCAGCAATGTAGAGGCACTGGATTCTGCCACTATTTTTGCTAAGACTCTGAAGCCTTGTTCACCCTTCTAATATTTTTAGTTGACAACAGTCGTTTTCACACGATTTCGTGGAAACACTGTCCGAGCCAGTGTTTTCTGGGTGGGTTCCCTATCAAATCCATCAAGATCCTGTTGGCTCTTCGTTGGTGGCAGTGCAAGAGAATCTCACACGGTGTGCTTCCTGCTCAAAGCGTGTCTTCTGACACCCAGGCATTTTGTTACGACGTTTTTGCAGCCCATAATTGCAGCCCATAATTGTGGATTTGTAAATCAAAAGAAAACTTTGTGGCATTTGTAAATCAAAAGAAAACTTGTCACACCATGTTCGCAACTCCTTCCTTCGCGACCGGCCGCGGGGCGGGGAGATGTTTTGTTGGATTGTGAGGTGCCGTTACTGCGACAGTCGTTTGGGATTGAAAATTGGGTAGCCCTCCAGTGGCTAGTCATCGTTATCCCTACTTGAATCCCTACTTAAATGGGCTGCGTTACCGTTATACCCCGTTTTCAGACACACCCATATTCTAGATTAATTCGTAAACATTCCTGTAGATGATTTGCCCAAGTTGCAGTTTTTTTTTGCAGACTGAAATTTGCAAGATGTCTTGTCAGAAAAGCTTCCAATAGGGCATAGGGTACTGTACGGATCAAACGTCTATTTTACCCAATTTTGGGTGATGAAGATCCATAAAGACAAACTATTTTGGTGTGAAAACCAGGGGTTCCCAGGGTTTCGACCCAGTTCCATATCCATAGTTTGGCGGTATGGATGGACCCTCTGATAAAAAAAACCACCCTCTTGTTCCATGTCAGGGCTGCCTGCAGCTGACTAAGCAGCTCCTTTGCTAGGCATGGGAGCAATGGGAGACTCAGACTTTGCGTGCACTGAGAACCACTGAGTTTTGCTTGACAGATATTGACAGTTTGGAGAGTTGGGCACAGCTACATGAAACATACCCTCTGGTAAACTAACATAACTATGGAAAATCACCATTTTCAATGGGTAAATCCACTAAGTCATACTAAGTCACTATTTCAATGGCAATTTTCAATAGCTATGTAACAAATTACCAGAGGGTAGGTGATGGTGATTGGACTCATTTGATGCTAAGCCCATGACTTCCTCACGACAGGCTGGCAGGTTGACCGAAACAAACGAGCCGAGGGTCCGTGGTCCGTGGTTGGCCTCGGCGGAATGTCTGCGGAATACCTGGCAATGGTCCAGGTGTTCATGTTATTTTAACATCACGGGTGTTTGTCTGAAAATAGTGTACCCCTACACCCAATGGTTAATGATCATTATCCCTACTAAATGGCTATAATTGGGGGTATACCCCATTTTCAGACATACCCACGGATATATGACTGTCTATTGAAAGGTTAGATTATTTAGATTGCTATAGAGTATTTCCTCATCTATGAGACGTTTGCACTAGGTATGCTATGTGTATAGGTCATAAGGAGCAACACAACACTGTGGTATCGGAGCCTTAAAAGAATCACCCAAATGGTAGCATACGCAAAGCATTTTGTGGAACGTTATAGATACAATATA